CAGCAATTATCAAAATCCTTTTGAGACAAAGAACAAAATGTCTGAAGTGAATGCTGCGTTAATTAAGAGGAATTAATCATACTATTGCTATAAGGAGGCTAATAATTATCTGTTTCATCTGTTCATTGTAATTGCACTTAGGCATCACATTTTAATTAGATTAAGTGGTAATTCTGTGTTTGGCTGTCTTAATATTTCCCACAGTAAATCATCATTAAATACTAGCAAATGGCAAGCACCAACCTAGCTTGTGATCGTATGGCCTCACATTGTAGCCATCAGTGAAATCAAGTATTCATTGAGGAAGTACAATCACATGTTAGGTGGGAAAAGTTCTTAAAAAAGTACAGAAGCTTTGACAACGGAGCATTAATAACTTTGTTTTGTTGTTGCTGCTGATATTCGCAGCGTTGTCAGTATATCCTGCTGTGTTTGGAGGGAAAAGACAGTCGGTAAGCTTGGAAATTAATCATTTAGAGTACAGAAGTGATTTTACTTTGTCAACAGTACTGCTAAGACTTTCTGCCTTTCACACAAAAATGACAAAAAGAAACCTTAACCCATTATGCATTTATAGCCAAGTCTCTCTCTTTCTCTCTCACACACACACACACAGGTTGCCTTTGTTTGACAAAGACAGCTGAAGTGAGATAGGAGAAAGGGGATGACGTGCAGCAAGAGTCTGCGGGTTGGAATCGAACCCAGTCTGCTGCAGTAAAGACTCAGCCTCAGTACATGCAGCGCCACATCCATACTGTATTATAAAGATACAGTATCATTCTTATATCCTGTCTGCGTGGTTCATTGTGGTAAAGCAGTAAAATGACACATTTGAGTAGTTGCGTGTGGGTCATCATGTCGGGTTGCGAAACACTTATTAAAGATTGCTCTCATGCATTGCCTAACTCTGGAACAGTTCATTGCTTTGAACATCGGTTTCATTATTCAGTATCAGTATATTTGTTTAGTTTCTTTTTCTTTTAAAGATGTTCTGTGTGTTTGTAGCGCAGTATCTGTGGAGGGAAAGCCAGCACTCCTTGCCTCTCCTTTAACCTTCTATAGGTCTGCCATATTCACAGTGCATTAAGAGCACTGTCCTGCTAGAAAATCAATAATTCCCCCACATTCAGTCTGATTGGCTGGCATGTCTTTACAGAAGAAGGTAGTCCTTGCCTTAAGTCACTGTGCACATCTCCAGCTCAACACATATTAACAACAACAACAACATATTCCATGTTCTGTGTTTAATGCACAGCTGCATTGACCTGCCCTGCGTTCTGAAAGCAGCTTTACACTTTTTTAAACTTTTTTATGGCTTCTTTCAGTCAAAGTTTGATTATGTTGGGACATATTTAGCAGCCAGTCATTATGTACTACAATGCTTATCTCATAAGTAAGTATTGCAACACTGTTCACTAGAATCCAACATAAAAAAAAAAAAAACTTGTGTTACTAAAGTTTGTTCCCAGCAGCAGTTTTTTAGCTTCTCTCCACTAAGATATTCGTTGTCCTTGAGGGCTGTGTGTCTGAGTTCCACTCTTCTTTTTTTTTTTCTCAGTCAGCTGGATAGCTTTTTGAACAGGACAAACCTTGTGACATTCAGCCAGCAGTGTGGTTTTGGTACAGCAGGCTGTACTGATAACTATTGTCGGCCAGGTTAGCGGTGCTGCATTTTCCCCTCTGACTGTTTATGTGTGGTGTTAGGGTTTGGAGGGGGTTTGTTGCCAATTTCAGATTGGCTGAAGACAAGACGAGACATATTTAAGACATATTGAGTATCTGCCGAGTCCCGGTCCGATACTTGTATTTCGTTTTTAGCTAATACCGGTGCACATTGCCAACTTCAAGTACATTAAAGTTATTAAAAATCAATCCAATGCTCGACAATTTAATAACGCTGCATGCATTAAGAAACAAAATGTATAAAGTAGCTTCCCTCTGTAATCTTGTTGGCTTGTCGCTGTGTGGAGGGAGTTTCTCTCTCCAGTGGTTTGGTGCTTCAGTGCAGCCTTTGCCTGAGCTACTTTATTTCCTCGTCCGTACATCTTTCGTGCGGATTACATTCATTAGTTACTCT